ATATACATAGTGTGTATATATATATATATGTACATACATACATACGAATATATATATATATATATGTATGTATGTATGTATGTATGTATAAATACATACATACATACATGCATGCATTCATATGTATCACTATCCTGTATTTAGTGGTGTTTGCTTTTACTAGGTGGGCTTTGGAGGGGTTGCACGGATCTGGTGCTTTCTCTGGTTGGGCGGTGAGTAGGGGTTCCAAAGGTTTAGAGGCTCCGGGATTTCAGCGCTGGGGTCTGGGTCTGCGTGGGCTTTGGCTCTTGTGCCTGGTTTTGACATAAAAACCCCCAACCTGAAACCCTAAACTTCTAACCCCTAACCCTACAACCTAAACCTCCCAGCCTCAGGGACTTTGAAGCTAAACCGAAACTTGAAAAGCTGCAGGTAAGCCGCAGGATTCGCAGCAACGGCACTCTCTCTTCCCGAAGGTGAGGCCACCTGAAAACAGCACTGGACCACAGGATCCATTGAACTTTTGGCATTGACTAAGCTGTTCAGTAACCAACTGGGAAAAAGTATAGACTTTATTGGGTTAGTTATATCATAATAGGAACCAATACCCAAAAAAGCAAAAACAGATCCTACTGAACATCCTAGTTGAGGGCATGGCTTTGTGATGAAACCACGCATGCGCTTGGGCATCTGGTCCCTCTGGGAACATAGATCTTGAGACTTCTCACGCAGCGCAGGCCAACCAGATGCGACCCACAGAGCCGAACACCCCACTTCGCCCGAAACGCTCAACCCTCAAAGTCATCGAACCTAAAGCACGACGGCACAACCCAGAATCCGAAACCCTGCAAACTCCGACTGCATGCCCTGTTGAACCCTAAACTGCGTTATGTAGGGGCCTTAGTAATTAGAATAGGGTTTTGGGGGTTCCTTGTTAGAATTATAGTATAATACAGCCTAAACCCCATTCTAATGATTAAGGCCCCTGTATTACCTGCTTTATCCATGGGACCTCACTTGACCCTATGAACCCCTACCAAGCCCGGCTAAGCTCCACAAGACCTTTTGCAGTTATACAGAGCTTTATACTCGAGCCCATCAGACCCTGATAAACCTGCTGAAGCCTCTGCAGCTTCCTAAACCTTCCAAGAAAACTCCACAAAGCCTGACCAAACACCCCAAAAACCTATCAAGAAAACTCCACAAAGCTTGACCACACCCCCCCCCCCCCAACAAAAAACAAAACCTACAGTACAAACCACCAGAACTCCGCAGCCTCCTTCCCTAAACCCTAGCCCTAGACACCTAAGTAAAAGCCCTAAAGCCCCTTAAAGCCCCATGCAGACCCGTTCAAACTCCCCTAAACCCTAAAACCCTAAACCCTAAAACCTTAAAGCCCTAAACCCTAAAACCCGAAAACCCTAAACCCGAAAACCCTAAAACCCGAAAGCCCGAAAACCCTAAAACCCGAAAACCCTAAACCCTAAAACCCGAAAACCCTAAACCCCAAAACCCTCAACCCCAAAACCCCCAAAACCCTAAAACCCTAAAACCGAAAACCCTAAAACCCTAAACCCCAAAACCCGAAAACCCTAAAACCCTAAACCCCTAAAACCCTAAACCGAGAGTCCGGGAGTCCGGACGCAGCCCCCAGGGCTTCTAAGAGGGCCTCGGCCCCAGCAGGCCTCCGCGGAAGTCTGTTTTTTTTTGAGGGTTTAGGGTTTATGGTTTAGGGTTTAGGGCTTAGGGCTGTAGGGTTTAGGGTTGTTTTGTTTTGCTTTCTTTTTTTTTTAAGAGGGTTTAGGGTTTAGGGTCGTAGGGTTTTGGGTTGTAGGGTTTAGGGTTTGGGGTTTTAGGGTTTTGGGGCTTTAGGGTTTGGGTTTCGGTTTAGGGTTT